ATGGGACCTTCTACTGCTCACCTCCTGAAAACATCAGCCACCCAGCTGTCATGCTTATCCTGTGCCTTCAATACCTCCTGACTCACCCCTTTCCGTGGGGCTATCCCAATACTGCACAGGTGAACTGCTCATTAATGTCCAGGGGGACATGTGTATAGGTCTCTTCCTTCCCTGATCCCCGCTCCCCCAGACGTCGGAGCTCACCTCTCCCCCCTCTGCTCCAGCTTGTAGACTGTCCCTATGCACCCTCCCATATAATGTAGGGTTATGGGCCCAGCATTGTATGTGATGACATCAGCAGGTCTCCGACCACCAGAGCGTAGGGCAGGGGTAGGCAAACACTGGCCCTTCAGCTGTTGTGGAACTACAAGTCCCATGAGGCATTGCAAGATTGACAGTTACAGAGGCATGTTGGGATTTGAAGTTAAAGCACGGCTGGAGGGCCTGAGTTGCTTGCCCACCCCTGCTGTATAGTGTGGTTGGGGGTGTTCTGCCCAAAAACACCTCCCTCGCTCTCTCCCCTGGCTGCCTTTTTTCTCTCCTCGCTCTCTCTCTCCTGGCTCTCTCTCCTCACTCTTTCCCCTTATTGTCTCTCCTCGCTCTCTCTCCCCTGGCTGTCACTCCTCGCTCTCTGTCCTTTTGTTGTCTCTCCTCACTCTCTCCCCTTGTTGTCTCTCCCCTTATTGTCTCTCCTCGCTCTCTCTCCCCTGGCTGTCACTCCTCGCTCTCTCTCCCCTGGCTGTCACTCCTCGCTCTCTCTCCCCTGGCTGTCACTCCTCGCTCTCTGTCCTTTTGTTGTCTCTCCTCACTCTCTCCCCTCGTTGTCTCTCCCCGCTCTCTCTCTCTCTCCCCTGGCTGTCACTCCTCGCTCTCTCTCCCCTGGCTGTCTCTCCTCGCTCTCTCTCCCCTGCCGGTCTCTCCTCGCTCTCTCTCCCCTGCCGGTCTCTCCTCGCTCTCTCTCCCCTGGCTTTCTCTTCTCACGCTCTCTCTCCCCTGGCTGTCTCTTCTCACGCTCTCCCCTCACTGTCTCTCCTCACTGTCTCTCCTCTCTCTCTCTCCCCTGGCTGTCTCTTCTCGCTCTCTCTCCTTTCACTGTCTCTCTCTCTCCAGACTGTCTCTCCTGGCTGTGACTTTAGGAATGGGGCAGACCTGAGAGCTCAGTGTAGATATCCCTGAAATATATAAGAGTCCAGGCGGTCCTGAAGCCCATACCTGGGGGAGCCATACTCCAGGGGGGAAACTGATATTAGGAGCTGGGGGGGAATTAGCTGGGAAATGGCAGGTATGAGGAGGCTGCTCCATGGACAGTGTCCTCTGCTCTCCTTACTTCCACGACCACTACTTCCTACACTGAAGCTGCAGCTCACCTTGCCGGTCCGGGCACTCCCTTTCACGAACAGGGTGACCCTCTTCATACTCGGGTCCCTTCCCACTCCAGACAGCTCCCCTGTCCCCTCTCCAGCCAACCCGGAAGAGAGATGCAGAGCAACGTGACAGCTACCCCACCAATGGGATACTCAACGGCTAGACCTTTGCGAACCAATCAGAACCGGGGAGGTGGGCGGGGACGCCATGCCTTAATAGTGGGCGTGTCTGTAAACTTTTTACTGTGGCTTCATGAGGCCCCGCCCTAAATATTGTTCAGCGTCTTTCCCTCACCGTCATTGGCTGGAAATAAATTGCCAGGAAACGGACATGTTGGACGAGGGCAGGCCAATTCACACACCCTTTGGCTAGACTAGAGCCTAAACATCACTGTACAGCTCCTGTGTCACAGACTGGTTTAACATACCTCGTAACTGGAAGTACAGGACCTGGATAACTTTTTCATTGAGGACTGGTCTAGTAAAGGCTTAGAGCTTAGAAGCCAGAATGAATTTTCAGTCAAAAAGAAATAAGGTAATTGAAATGGAAAACCATACGTTACCTTGAATGATTAAACTGCCTTTATTATATCATTATTTATGTAAGTAGTTTAAAAAAATAATAATAGTTGCCCAAAACAAATATGGCGACTTTGGCTACGAAGGTCAGGTTAAAAAAATAAGCCGTATGACCTGCGTGCGCATGCGCCGTGTCACTCTTCTATTCTCCAACGCCGCAGCCGTTATCCCATTATGATATCCATCCGCGGATTTTTCCTGACTGTTCTTCTCCGTTAGAACCGGTTATGTTCTGTCCTGAATGTTCCTGTCTGAACATGTGCTTGCTCTTCGTTGCGTAAAGCGCTGTGCGAACCGTTCTAATGAGCTAAGTCACGTGGGTGAGCTGAACTACTTTGTCTTGGCGGAAGGATCAGGCATACAGCGGCAGATTTGAATTTGAAAGTGCAGACAGAGCGAAGTGAAGAGGAGCTGCGTGCAACCCGACCGCCACTGTCCCGTCTGCGGTATACGAACACATACATGTGAGCTGGCATGTGTCATATATATATAT